ACAGGAACCAGTTGTACAAACCACATTAATAACTTGTAATAGAGAAGGGAGAACACAATAAGAAGGACTTAATGTATTTTGAAAACAGTGGGTCCCTATATTCCCCTCCCTTTTCTTCACCTCTGGGAGCCTGTTCTCGACCAATTCAGTGAAGTGATAGTGTGTTATTCTCAAAAGAGAAAAAAGTGAAGTACTCCAGGCTAGAGGATGCCAGGTCCAGCTGAAAGCCCAATTACTATATTTGAAACAGGTGGTTAAGTGACCTTAGTCATTCTGAATTCAGAATGTGGAGAACTCCGGTTCTCTTAAACAATGCTTACCAGAACACTGGCAGTCAGGGCCTTAATCTCTAGGCGAGAAACTTTTCATGAGAATCTAATAGGCCCAAGAGGAAAGATCAAAAGATATGGAGATTTTGAAGGATTCATCAACAAAAAGCCCAATTAGATTAATCTATGGCAAAGCTCAAATTAGATAAACATTCTCTGTTACACCTTTGTGCATGTAGAACTTCCAACTCAGATTTTAGTCACCTTTTCTTAATCATTAACAGGTTGCTCAGAATTAAAGACAAACATTTGAAGAAAACCTCTAAAATAGAAGATAGGTAGGAATCCAAATAAGCAAGCAGAAAAAAAGCAACTGGGAGGAAACAGAATTCTTTTCAGGAAGAAGGGAATTTCATAGGATTGCTATTAGTTTTCAGAGATAGAAGATATGGTGGCCATAAAATAAGAACTCATAAAAATTAAAATAATTCAATGTTAAGAGACATTATCAGAGTGAACACAGGAAGCAGAGAAAAGGAAATTCTCAAAGTAATGGGTCAGAAAGTTTTCTCCAAACTCAAGGACAACAGTGACTAAATTGAAAAAATTAGCAAGAGCTCAGCCCGGTGGATAAAAGTAGATACATGCCTATCACTTGGGTATTTCAGGATGCTGAGAATACAAACCTAAAATACATATTAAAAAATCACAAAGCATCAGGGATCTGAATGATTTTAGGTTTTTCCACAGTAGCCTCAAACTAAGAAAGCAATGAAAGGATACTTTGAAATTTATCTAGTAAAATTATTTTCAACTTAGAACTCTATCTACACCCAGCGAAACTAACACTTATCTATGAGAGTAAAATAAAAGCATTCAGACATATACAGCGTTTTTCAGAAATATCTCAAAAAATGGACCTGTCCTGGAATTCTCAAGAAGCCACCAAAATTAGAGATAAACTTAGAAAAGAGAGGACATATGTTAGAGGCAACAGGATATTCAATACGGTTGAGACTAAGGGGATCCTGAGAAGGCAAAAGAAGGGAGGAATCTCACAATAATAATTATGCTGCAGACACAGAGGGCTAATCAGCAGTCCACATTGGAACAGTGTGATTCAAATGACAGATATATTCAGCACTGTCATGACCAAAATCCTCACTGCTACTGTACTACTTTTTAAATCTGAAAAGATAATTCTCAGGTGAACCTAGTCCATATTGTCATTATACTTTGTTTCTCTTGATCAGACACTGATGAGGTTCTTCTTGTACATTCTGTGCCCTGTTTCCCTGAAACAGCCAGGCACTCTCTTCTCTCTATTTCAGTACTCTGCTTAAATTTACATTTCAGAGTTGGAGGTGAGCGGCAATAAGCCTAGTCACAGAATATATAGAACAGCCTATTCCCTGGGAACAATTTCTGGTGCGCCCAACAACCAGATGTGTGATTCTGCTGTGTACATATGCATTGTATACAATTTGTTGTATGTATATTTCATAATAAACAGATATTAAAAAGTATCTTATGCTAAAATACTTTTAAATCATTAGTGTTTAGTATATATACTCACTCAATAACAAGAAACTTGTATAAAAATGTAACTGAGTTGCAAAATATTAGAAACATTTTAATTAATAAAATATCCTTATCCAAGTTATTATATTTGTAAGATAAAATATATCCACTTGGTGTTCTCATAGTGGTTAGGGTTGTTCATCTGTAAATATGTGAATACCTCCTTGGTATTCTCATAGTTGTTAGGGTTATTTAGCTGTTTTATATATATATATATATATATATATATATATATATACACACAAATATGGATTTGTGTGTATATATACACACAAATATAAATCATTGGTATTTTCATCTGGTTAAGGTTATTTAGTTATGGCATATGTAAATATATCCACCTCGTGTTTCATAGTGCTAGAGTTATTTGTGGTATATGTACCTCCACTGATTACCTGAAGTTGTCAGTTTATGTTGATTGTAACATGTGTTCTCTTCCGTTCCTTATAATTTAAGTGTTATGCTAGAGAATGATCCTTACTCCAATATACTACCTTCCCAAAGAGAGGACACATTTTTTTCACTGGTTGAAATTATTATTATTTTTTAAAGATTTTGTTTATTTATTTGACAGAGAGAGACACAGTGAGAGAGGGAACACAAGCAGGGGGAGTGGGAGAGGGAGAAGCAGGCTTCCCGCTGAGCAGGGAGCCCGGTGTGGGGGCTCGATCCCAGGACCCTGGGACCATGACCTGAGCTGAAGGCAGATGCTTAACGACTGAGCCACCCAGGCACCCCTGGTTGAAATTATTTTGAAAGTAATCAAGATTTTATTAAGAATAGTATCTCAAAAAAAAAAAAGAAAAGAATAGTATCTCATATATGCATAAGTACCTAATAAGTACGGAAAAATCTGTTTTGGCAATGACGTAGAAAACCTTTTAGGAAAAGGATAAAAATTAAATATTATACATTGTTTATATATTTTAAATTACCATTAGAGTAAAAAATGCAGCAGTTTTTTTACACTTTTCAAAATTGTTAAATCTAATACTTGATTAAAATAATTGCCACATTTTACCAAAAATCAAAATAATTATTTCCTGTCTACTTAAAAAAAAGTTAAAATTGTCATTTCTAGCCTATTATTAAGTTTGTTTAATATAAGGAAGAATTGATCTTAAAAAGTGCTTTAAAATCTGATTAGAACCTGATTGATAAGAAACTTAATATTATCCAAAATCTGAACATTTTTATGAGATATATTGAAGCTATTTACCATGGAAAAAAAAACAATGCTGAGATTTTTAGTAGTGGCTTGTGTAACTCTCTAACATTAAATTTGGGGACAAAATTATCATTGAAATATGAATTTTAATTGAAAATAACTGACACTAGAAATTTTTAAAATACTTGGGCATTTAATTTTTAATTTAATCAGATATTAGCAATTTGATTATGCAAGTTCTACATGTTTAAAAAATACAGAGCTTTTTCTTATTTATTTATTTATTTATTTGGGTGGGGGGTCACCTGTAATTAAGATGGTTACCTTATTTGTTTTAAACAAATTCTGTTAGGATGTTACCATCTAAACCACATCATTACTAATTGTTGGTATTGAGCCTGTCTTCTCCTCTCCCTTTGCTGAATTACACTGAATTACCAATGCACAAGGCAATTCTTAAATTGGACATAAGTTGAACTTCAAATATCACATAGTAAACATGATACAGTCTTACACAACCCTATCAAATATAGTCAATATCTACTCAGAGAAGAAGCAAGATCATGACTGCTACTTCTAGAACTGCTCTTTTTCTCATTTAAATTGCCCTAAACTGAAAGATTACAGGTTCTATCCCAGTCCAGCTTTTCCTACATCTGCGTAGTTCATCACTGAGCCTTTTTCTTCTTTTCTCCAGGTGGTTGGGCAGTGGCCATCCTTGATGACCTAGAAGGCTTCAGGAAGTGGACTTCTCCTCAAGCAATGAACATACTGTGCATTCTTATACACATACAAGAGAAAAATGAAAGTCAAAGCTGAAAGTAAAATGGACATAATTTTAATGATTTTTTTTAATTTTGTGCATTGGATTCAAACAGCAAACTGTGTGCACTCAACTGTTATCACAATATTGTCAAGAGGTCTGTGTCTTTTACCATTTTACACACAACTGTTCATTACAGTATGTTATCAGCCTCGTGGAAACCAGGGGTGTGGCATGGTAAGCAGTGACGGTAGTGCACCTAGCTTTTATATTCTCTAACTTGAAAATATTTCTCTTCTATGATTCCTTTTTTTCTTGATAAAAATAGTTTTCACCAAACGTTGGTGGTGCACACGCACTACCATTCATGCTTGACATCACACCCCTGACAGGAACACGTGCTCTTATTTTGTTGATAAAAAGTATTACAAAAATTTCCATACAAAAACTATTTTCATAGAAATCTTGCATTTCCACAAATAAACCTGAACATGTTTTTGAAAAAAACTGCTCAAGAATTTTGTTCATTTAACATTGTGACTGTACTGATAAACGCAGTCCACTTCAAAGTTCTCCACACATCCTTTTCTATGGTTGACCAGTCAGTCCCCTTTCTCCTTTCACCGAGATCTGCCCAGGCTCCATCAAGTTCGTTTATAGCAGGAACAAGGGCTTAGATTAACATATCTGAATGTTAGAATGAAAGCTTCAGTCTTCCACATAGCCATCGATATCCAGCCCTCTTTTACAACTTACAACAACGATTGCAAAACATCATCCTTTTTAATTCAGAATCTCTGAACCAACTGTTGCTTTTTTATTCTTGGTACGGGGTTGGGGAAAAGGCGTAAGGGGATAGGTGGGGACCTGGTAGAGTTGTATGTTAAATCTCCTGCCTTGGTAAAGTTAACAAAAAACATTATTGCCTTGGTATTTGACATTTCTATCTCAATCAGTGACACAGACTGTCAAAAGAAAGAAAGAAAGAAAAACACTGATGAATATCTGCTTTATATTCCACTTGCCATGAAATTCAGATTTGTTTTGCATTACATTTTTTTCACATCCTATAAACACGTATCACTATTCAGATGATCATTATACTGAGTAGTTGGGGGCTAGTAACATCACCACCTATATTATCTGGGTGTCAGAAGACTGTACTGTTTCTTGTAACACTACAGTTTTTGCTGATTCCAAGTATTTTTATTCCTAATGATTTTTTTTTTTTTTTTTTTTTTTACTGGTTACCCTTGGGGCATTGATATTCCACCTCCTGGCAACAGTTGGACTTCAAAAGGAACCTGTAATTTCTTACTGGACTGCATTTGAAACCAGCCACAAAATGCGCGTGTAACATTCACTCAAAAGAAGGGAGGAACCCATGATAAACAGTGTAACCCAGTGTAACTTGGTTGATCCATGATGCTTGTAAATCAAGTCTGATCATTGCAACTGCTTAGATCACAGAGTCTCTAGTTCATAGACACAGCGGCATGAGGTAACTCATTTTATTTTGCACAGGTTGCATATTTCCACAGGAAACATTCTCGCTAAATTGTTTGGAAAAAAAGGACGACAGTTTGTGCTTGGGTGTTTGGCCTCCCAGCTTCATGCCATGGTTTCTTTACCTGGCAACCTTCTGTCGTTAAATGTGTGCATGTTGATGACCTCTTCTGTTTTCACAATAACCGGGGCCTGTGGCTTGTGTTTTAACCGACGCTGGCATTTCAGGGACATCCTCAGCTCTTCCACCATGGCGCTACAGAAGGACCTCTAAGAATAACACAGAGAGTGAGATATTAAAACACAGGCCAACTGCAACCACCCAGCAATAATATTAAAATCACTTTCAAGAGGCTTGTCAACACTGCAGCCTTGAAGGTTTGAAAAATTTCATTATAAAGGTGAGAGCAGGTGTTGCACTTTTAATACACAACTCGTGATCATTAAAGTATCTTTGCCAAGTGGGCTAGTTTAAAGAAAATCTCCAGCTGATAGTGAAATAAACTGCCAACAAGGAATGCATAGAAGATGTCTATGTTGAGTAAGATTTTCAGATGTAAAATTGACTAACATCATAAAATATAGATCTACCTTAAAATTTAAATACAAACACATGTACACAAATCAGTAACCAGAAATCCATTCTTGATCTTTTAACAGATTAGAAGAAATGTACTACTTTTTTAGATCACAGCATGAAATATGAAAATTTTCTTTAAACATGGATTCTTCCATTGTGCATCTCAAAACAGAACAAAAATAGTACTCACACATTTAGACATAAAAACATGGAAAATAATTTCTGGTACTCATTATATCTTTGTGTGATTATGCCTATAAAACTATTGATGATGATTACAAACAAACATGATTTAATCATGAAATGACAAACTGTAGCATGTTAAAAATACATGAACAAATATTAACTTTTTTTGGTCAACATCAGCTTGATAATTGAAAGCTGGCAAATGTTTCATCCCATCAAGATAAAATGACCCTATAAATATTATTTTTAATTCCCATTTCATTGGCAATAGATTTGCTAGAAATTCTGTGTATCTGGGGCTCATTGTTACACACTCCTCACAATTCCTATTACAGAGTCATATATGTGAAACAAAATTTTATCAGTCCTCTTCCCCAACTAATTGAGATACACGTATGTTAGTTACATATAAATCAGATTCATGAACCAGTTGCATATTGTAGTTGGAATTCAGATGGGCTGAGACTTAGGCTCTTTCTGTGTAAGAACTAAAAATGCGGACAACGACCAAAAATGTGGACAAATGTGAAAAATTTACACAATTCCAAAAAGTGATATGAAAACATAATGAAATAAACCTAATCAAATTTGCATGTGAAGACTTATTTTTTGCTTTAGATGTTGCTGCTTTATTGTTTATCAGCTTAGGCTAATTCCAAACAATATTTAATAGCATATATGTGGTTTTTTAAAAAATATTTTGCACACATAATCTTTTGTGACAGTCAAACCAATACTTTGAATTAAAGTAAGCATCTCTTTGACAAAAACTGATTCAGAAAAAAGGGAAGTCACTTTCTGCAGCTCATACCTGAGATGCCAGCAAGATATCCTGATAACCCAATTTTGTGATTTTTGACCCCATCTTAGTATCTTCTTGTCCATTCCTGGCTATATGCTCATTTCTCTTTAATGCGTTCCTGAACAGTTTCCTTAGTGGTCTTCTCAATTGTATGTCTAGGCTATTCCCTCCCAAAAGGCTCACAGATACCAGAAAAATCTATTTTTAAACCACTTATTAATAGCATTTCTTTGTCTAAGAAACAGGTAAAATCCAAATCTGTTTTTTGGCGGTTTTTTCCCCCATCATGACTTCCATGATTTAGCTCTCCACCCTCCCCATTTGTTTTTTCTCTAACACACTCTTTTTTGCTTGGACTTCCAGGGTTTTTCTCCTTTGCTTCCCCTTGCTCTAGGACCCTGCAGAGTTCTTTCATCCTTCATAACAATCCAACTTTACCCCTTTACCTCAGGACATGATTCACTCTTTAACTTATTCAGAAATCACTTTCCAATTGACCAGGCTCATTATTTTCACTCAATTTGGTTTTGTCCCTTTAGTATTTTGCACTCATTGTCATGTTTTTTTTCTATCTGGCCTGGGACTTCTATGTATCCCTCTCACTAAATTGTAAAGAGCAGAAATCAAGTTCTCATGGCACTGACTGAACACACATGTATCCTTTAAATGTTGACTGAATTTTAACTGTAGCTACACATGACCCTAATATTTGAACTCTTAATTAACAATGTGTTTAATTCAACTGTTTAAAAAAGTTTTTTTCAGAAGCTTAGTAAGCATGTATACAAGATACCTGATTAATCAAGGTAAAACTTTGGTATTTGTTTAATAACATTAAATTAGTAAAAATATTAATTTATTAGTATTTATAGTGGGTGGTGATTAAATGCTACACATGAATTCCCCATTAACTACAGTTACTGCCATGCATTATTTATAATGTGTTAAATTATACAGTTCAGAAGTTCATGAATTATATTTCTATTAAAGGATTTATATGACACCTGACAGCCAGTATATGGACACAGTGTTTCTCATTGCTTAATACCTACTATTAGATGTACTTATTAAGAACATGATGATAATGATGATGAAGATGGTGATGATGACAACACTGTAGAAATGGAAAAATCTGACTCCAAAAGGGGGAAGAATACATAGTCTTGAGGTAACTTAGTCTTGGCTCTCTGTTGAAACATTTAACAGAAGAATTGATTAGATAATATAACAAGGTCAGAACTTGATGCCATTGACACTTTAAAATGTTATAGGATGTGAATAACGTTGAATTGTTTGAAATAAGCCTTCATTTAAAATGAATAAATTTCCCATATGTTAAATAATTGATCACACCCTCTTCTTGGCAAACTCGATTTGTAGACATTTTGAATATATTAGTTTCAAAAAATAATGGAATAGATATATTAATTATTTTTTTGTGCATACTAAGAGAGTGGCCTACACAATTGATTTCCTTTGGAAAAAAAGGTCTTATAAATATACATATCCATTCAAAGATGAAATGACTCAATTTTATTTCTAGTAAGTTAAAGAGTAAACTGAACTTAGTACCCTAGACTTAACTTCAGACTACAAATAAAGGCATATAAAGCTCTTTTTAGACAATTTTATATAATATATAACATTTATAATGCTGTGTAATATAAAATGTAGGTAAAAAACCTGCACCAAAGATCACAATACTTTCATCTTTCATAAATTAAATTATCTTAAATGAATTATATTTACAAATTTAAAAACTCTGAAAATTATAAACATGTAACCCCACCAATACCATTTTAGGCTTTATCTAACCTACAAAGCTATTAGAAAGTGAACATTTTAATCAAACAGCCTTTAATCACCCAACCAATAGCTTTGGTTATTTATTGTCAAATTACTACTTTTATTAAATTTTTTTTCTCTGAATGAGCTAAATTTTACCAGTTCTCTTTTGATCTATCACTGTCAGTTTACCTAAAAAGTAGTTTTACTTTAGGTTACTAATAAAGTCACTGTGAGACCATAGGTTCTCTTCTCACATGTAGAATATTTCTAATCCTTCACAAAACTATGAAAACCTTAAGATCTGAGCAGGAATTTAGAATAAACGGGAAATTTAAAGAATTTAATGATATCATAAAGTACTGTTCACTTGTGGCACCAGGCAAACACATGTTCTTTACTTTTTTAAAAGCTTTAGAATGCAAATTCCATATTGTAATCTATGTAAGAATTTAAAGTTGAAACTATAGATATGCTTGTGGATTATAGTTGCTTCTCTGTGCTTTGTGTTGCCCAAAAATTACTGTCTCACTTTTAAATAAAGTTCTAACATTATCATTCAAGAGACAATATCTTTCCTACTTCATATAGTAATTGGAATTTTGAAAAATGTCTTTTTTGTTGAACTATGAAATCAGGCTTTGAAAAACCCAAGTGCACTTAACAGGAGTTTCCTGGCTTGTAATAAAGAAGAAGGAAAAGGCGGGGGGAGGGGGAGGAGGAGAGGAGAAAGGAGAGCAGAAGAAAGAATAAAAGAAAAAGAGAGCAATAGAAAAGGAAGAAAGGAAGGAAAGAGGGAATGTGGGAGGGAGGGAAGTGGGGGAAGGAAAAGCAGGAAGGGAGGTGGGTGGGAGGAAGGAAACGAAAACTATGTTGCTTTTTTTCAAATCACTTTTCCTTAGGAATGGAAAACCACAAATTGTGTCATTAAATAAGGTAAGTTTCTTAGGGTGAAAACAACCACAAAAATGTTTCTCCACATTAATATAACAGACTACAAAAAGAAAAAAGAAAGGCACAAGGATACTAACCATTATTAAAAACCTCTTTTAGTAAGTTTCAAAAGTTTACTAAACAGTGTCTGGATGGTAGGGTGGCACTAACCATATAGAAGATTCCTGAAAATGAAAATTTAAATCTTTGAGCTGTTAGCATGTATAATTGCATTTAAATTAGTAAAACTCATTATAAAATTCACTATATTTAATGAGGCAACCTGTATTTACACATCACTAATTCTAGAAATGATGAAGGCCTGGAAACCTTAAAAGTATAAATTTGGCTATATTTACATTATTTTTTAATAAAGACTGTATTTTTTATTTTGAGTATAATAAGACAACATTAATAGTCCACAGAAAATTGTTCTCAAGAATATCATTATTGGTGTATAGAAAAATTTATTCTTAATAGCTTAACTTTCTAACTTATAGATGTGTTTATATGATCACATGATGTGACAGCACTTGGTGAAGCACATGATTTTTTAAAGAGTAGAAATCTAGGTGTAAATATGTTCCACATTGAACACTGACATAAACTACATTTTTAAGTTAAGATCTTTATATTTAGCAATGTCTCTTTTAAAAACAGCAACTGATGAAAAATAACCAATTTGAATTTTTAAACTTTGAAGCTCATCACTTGCATGTTGAATATATGTAGTCATTTATCACCCAAAGGCAAAATAATCAAGATATTATGCACTCTGTATTTATTTTTTAAGGAGAAAACTCTATCTTATGTGTCTTGCTGTCCTATTTTTTGATAGTATAAAATGAACTAAATGATACTCCATTTTCATTCAGAATAATTTCCAACCATTTATGCATACAGTTCCTATCGGAAATCCCACCAAAACATCTTCAAGCTACTTCTATCAGATTTATAGCTCAATATTCTAGCATATATTAACTAAACTTGTTTTGAGTTTGTCCTTCAGTTTGTTAACTGATTATGGATAACCAGCCCATTCTCAGATGCTTTTCTAATTAATTTCTGATGCCATAGGCCATTTGACCAAGAATTCCAAGTTGCATGTCATAAAGACAAATCCAAACAGTCACTGTGATCCCTGCATAAAATTATCCCACATTAGATAAAACTAAATCAACTCAATAATAACTAAAATGGCATAAAAGTATATAGAACATAATATGTGATATTTTGTATAAATATTGGTGTATTAAATGAGGAAAGTAGTTGTCATTTAATATGACACATTCCTTTTGATTTATACTCTTCTTAATTGACAGGATTTTAAAAATATCAAAGTGCTAATGCTATATACATCAGAAGTATAAATTGACCTCAGGCTATATGAATGTAACAGTGAGCAATGAAAGATGGAAAATGACTAGTTAAGACACTCATGTCAAAAATGTATATAGCAACTTTGATCTTGATATTCAGTTCCAGAGCAGCTCTCATTTTGAAAAAAAAAAAAAGTTATTTAGATTAGCTGCGCGGCTGTCAGGACATTTTACGCGCAAGTTCTGCAGTGATCTTATTGCTTCATCACTTTAATTTTACAGCTAGAGAAACTCAAACTCAAGAAATCATCTACCCAAGGTTATGCAGACAACTGGTATCAGAGCTCAAAGAAGAGCGCTATTCTCTTGACCACAGTTCTTTGAATGCTTTTATTATTTCAGCCCGCCTCCTGAAGAGGTACTTGAATTTCAGTGGAGCCTTTTACCTGGACTCTGCTCTTAATCAATGTTAATTTTTGAATAGTAAGTAATAAATCAGACAGAAAAAAAATATGGGACAAAAAGAAATACATTTTTTAATGAATAAAATGACAAAGCATCCTATGCTTTAGCTGCGGTTATTTTACAATGATAAACTTAACCAAAGATTAAAATGTTCTCAGAAACCTGGGCTCTTACAGAAACGGTTACTGAATATCTTTATATTGCATTTAGCAAATACAGTGAGACAGAGAAAAATGAAGCATCATTATACATTTTTACACTTCCCCTACTTAAGTTCGAAAAATCAGTGAATAAGGTCTGACAAGCTTCAACACCACTTTAGTCAATACAGCTATGAAATACATTTTAAGAAAAAAGCAACGTTAATCATCACATTTTTGCTAGTAGTCATAATGATACAATTTTCAACAAAACATGTAACATCCAAATATCTAATGCTGAATTCCAAGAAAGCTCTCTCTTTTTAAGATCCAGCAGTTAAAATGTACCAGCTTTATGAATAAAATAAGTATATTATAGCAATAGCTGCTTATTATATGCCAGACACATGCAAAATACTCAGTGTATATTAACTATCTTAATTTTTAAAACACTTTCATTTATGGTATATTCCTAACCCATTTATTTGTTTATTTTAAGAGATGTATAGAAAGGTTAAGTAATTTTATCCAAAGTTGAACAAAGTTGAGAAAGGAGCCCAAATCTTCTTCTTTTTTTTTTTTTTTTAATTCCAAAACTCATGCTTAATTGTCTAGGAAAGTGAAATAGCTAGCCAGTGCTTAAGATCAAAGCCCACAATCTGTTTATCTAATTCAAACTCGCACTCCACATATTGCATCAATGCAACTTCAGGAAGAAAAACTACCAGGAAGACTAGCTAAATATTCTACCTCCATTTTGTGCAAAATGCTATAGCTTAAAAGTGTGAGAGTAGGCATCTTTGACTTTGGGAAACACTTGACCCTTGAGATACTTACCCTCATGTGCACAATATGGATAATGATATTTGCATAGTTCTCAGGGTAACTTTGTATTCAAATGAGATATTACTCTTTAGAAACTCTAAAGTCATTTATAAAAATAAGGTAGTAAAATTATTATTATCCAGCTACAATCTTAATTTTAAAACATCATTTATGTGCATAAATAGAGGCTGGCTTAATCATAAACAAATGACTTAAAAATCCTTTGGATGATTTGGAACTAAATTAGTGAATGAAAAAAGATTGGCATCTCATTTTTAAGTATGATATTATATTTATATGTAAAAACATTTTTAAAAGCCATCTAGTTAATCCTTATATAGGTCATTGGTAGAAATTGAGAGATGTTCTGCTCTCAGAGAAAGGCAGTAACATAAAAACAATACAAAATGGACTATTTGTCCAAAGTCTATTTGCAGCTTTTAACTTCTGAATAGCAACATGCTTTATGGCTAAATTTTATTATACTGAAAATATACTTAGAACTTCTAACTTCTAAAAAGTTAAATGCTGTTAAAATTCCAAAGCACACCTTTCTGTGGTTTGCTAATAGGTATTACTTGCAAAAGGTAAATATTGAAATAAAATCTTTACTGATGATTTATAGCAGTGTTGCATTCCTATGCCTTGTCCAATAAACGGCCTCTTTTAAAAAGCATTGGTCCCAATAGAACAAATTTCTTCAGCATTCTGAAAGTGACAACCTGTTTTCATTCTTCTGATTCCATGATATACAGATTCAGCCAGCTTTGAAAAGCGTTTTCCTTGTAAATAATCTTTTACCCAGGATCCCTAGTCTTGCAGGATTAAACTAACCCACTTTGACTTTCTCTGTCATTCCCCCAAATTGTACTGTTTCATTCATTGGTCCTTCTACTCTGAGTTACAGCTTCCTTCTACATTTGTTATTCAACTATAGACTGTAGAGCATTCTATGTGCCCTCCAAAATTTTTTTAACTTTCAGTGTCTGGAAAAACATCATTATTTAGAGATTATCTGGAGTATGATAGACCAGTGTTCTATAATACAAATAACAACATTGACTAAAATATACTATATCCTGGAAAACAACAATACCAAGTAGTTCTTAAAATGTCCTCCAATCACCTTAAAGGAAAGCTCAAATCAAAACAAATTCAATATCTGAGCAATAATTTACATTTTTTTATTTCTCAGACATTTTGACTAAATTTTGTTAATACTTAAGTAATAAGAAAGAATATTTTTGTTGCTAAGTCTTTTCATGTCAGGAAACTCAAAGATTCATGTTCAAACTGTTCAAGGAAACAATCTTTACAGGCAAATCCATTTTCAATTGCATGGGAAAGAAAATATTTCTGTATATAAATCAGACAAAAAATTAAACTGTGTAAGTTACATTACTATTCTTGCTGGAAATCAAAAGAAGTCAGAATTATGTACATCTTTTAAAAGAGGACATGTTAAAATATTTAAGAAATGTTGAACAATTTTAAACATGAATCATAATTCTGTCATAAAATAGTTTAATTAAAATTAAAATAATTATAATCACTTCTAATTCATGCTGACAAAACCAATATATTATCATAAATATTACTAGACAAAACAAAACTCTGTATCTTAAATAGCTTTCTTCAGTTATAAGTAAGACTTAGGAGGGAGAAACAGGACCTTTTAAGCAAATCCACATAACCTGAAATTCGCTGATAATTGCCTCAAATGTATAACAGTTTCTTGGATTCTTACCAAATGAAACTTAAGTATTAATATTTTTTAAATCAGGGAATAGGTAAGACAAGAAAAAAATCAATTAGAAAATGTACATGTTGATTAGTTACTTTTTCAGACACATTCAGAAAGGAAAAACATTTTGAGGATCTTTCCAAATGGTCAGGTTATACTTTGGAAAAATCAGAAAAATAAATACCTACTTATTTTAAAAGTTCAAATAAATGAAAAGCAATGTATCTTTGATGTATTAATATTTGCATCAAAATTAAAACCATGAAATATTATCAAAATTGTAATACACCATCTTGTGGCTATCTGAAAGGAATGCAATTTATGGTTTTTGAAGTTCTAGGGTCTATATATATCAGCAATTTCTTCTGTTTTCAGTTTTAACCTTCCTTCATTTAAAAATGATACTTTCTTACACTATTCCTAATTATCAAAAATATAAAAAAGTTATAGTCACAAGACCTATTTGCTCCACTAATATTTTACAAAATGCATGCTATTTGCTATTCATAAATTTTATCCGTAAGATTCATATTCAACTAGAACTGTGTGTATATCGTGTCTGGCAGCCTATTTAGATAAAGACGGGAAATTTCTTTTTTTTAAAAATCCTTGAATACTATAGCCTACAGAAAGAAGGAAAAGAATGAAGAAAGAGAAGGGAAAAGAGATAGCAAAGTACACTGGGGCTAGAATTATGAATACTATATCATTGCTTACATTCAATGTGCAAAATATAATTTCTTGCATGTTCAGTTCTCAATAAATAATTATTGAGTAAATGAATGATCACAAATATTTACCTTACTTTTAAAATTTAAGAAATATAATTAAAGTCACAATTATAAGTGTAAATAAACTTGACTGTGATACAATCTAGGAATATTTTATGGTTAATTTTAATAAATTAAGTAAGGTGTTAAACAAACTGTATAGCTCAACTAAATAAAATCTTTTCCTCAAGAAAAATAAAAAAGAATGGAGTCCAAGAACCTAATTTATCACAATACATAAAATGGGTCACTTCTAATAAATCCATAAGTATTTATTTTATAAACACAGTTCTTTTGAACTATATAGAAACATAGTTCTTTTTTTATTCTTTATGATATACTTTTCTAAATAGTTTCCTGGAACCAACTTCATTATTAATTTAAATAGATAGAAAGAAAGATATAAATAAATAAATAGATGATAGATCAATCTATCTTACGCCAACAGGCACTGTTTGGGACCTTGGAGATACAAACCAAAAACACTAGGTCTTTGTCCTAAAGGAACTGGGAGTCTAGTAGGGGGAGAGGCATCCACACAGAGAAACCAACAAATATGAATAAAATAGTGTGCTAAGGGAGAATGGAGATGTGCATAGGCTTCACAGAGAAAAGGTATCTAGACATAATGATGGATGTGGTTTAAAATGGGCAAAAAACTTTCCCAACTTCCTCAAAGGGGTAGGAAATGTTTTTGGAATGATGGCAGTACCTGAAATCACCGAAGTAAAAATGAAGTAAGATATGCACATCATATTTTTTTTCCACCAGAATAGGAAATAAAAACCTTGTGGAAACAGCTGTGTCCTGTACTCACGTCCATTACCTCTATTGATTAGGGAAAGATTTCTGGGCAAGTTGATACCTAGTCTTGAATGATACTAGTCTAAAATGACTAGTGGGAGTTTGCCAGGTAGAAAAATGGTCAAGATTTGCTCAAGTCAAATGGAAGAAAATTTGAAAAACTGGATGACATTGGAAAATTGAAAGTAATTTAGTTTGACTGGAGTAAAAGTGCAAATTGGGGAGAAACAAAAAATCGAACTATAATGGTAGACAGGGACAGCTCCTGAAGTGCCTCGTCTGCTAAGCTAGGGAATTTGGATTTCATTATGGAAGTTATGTGGAGACAGAGTGTGAAAGCATTGGGGAATGTGACTAATAATCCTCATGTAATATCAACACAGTTGTCTCTTTTGTTTCATCTGCTTCAGTCAAAAAAGGTACATTAATTTCCTTTTCCTAATTGTTTTAGAAGGTCATACAGGTCCACAGAAATTCAAGAAAGCTGAATTTCAACTAAACTAGTTTTTTATAGTAAGTATGAAGAAGGTTATTTTAGAGAATTAAATCCCTACGTTCTTTGTTTTGGGTTTTTTGTTTTGTTTTTTTAACAGAATGCTTACAGACTAATTTTGCCTTAAGACATGGCCTAGGCAAATCATATGGCTAGGACACAAAGAGACAAGGGCAATAGAATACCACATATATCAAGAGATTAATTCATTGGTTTTATTTTAACACTGAGCTATAACTGAAAGAAAATCATTGCATATGGAGATTTAGGGTTCCAATTAGAAAACCCCAGATTCCTTCTGTAATTTCTGGACTCATTTTAAGTATTAACTACCCAAATGACACATTTATTGCCAAATTATAGTAAAAACGGACATTGATGAGCTAATGTTTTTTTGTCTTTGATTTGTTCTTTGGATTTTATTTCAAAACTGATTTTGACACTAAAAAAAGGATCATAACATAAAAAGCATATTGAGACTTATTCGTCAGTCACACTAGTGCAACAAATATTTGATTTAGCCAAGTCAGCAGATACAGCCATCCTGAATGTTGTGGGGAAATAAATCATATGATTTCTAAATTTTTCAAACTTCTGAATTGGTTATTTTACTCAAGGACAAAAGGAAACTATCAAAATACTCATTTATAAAAACATTATTTCTAAGTGTTAAATACTGTAGTCAAGTAAAAATATAGAAACGCTGTATCCAAAATTTTGGTTTCAGAAAGGAGAAGTAATTGCAACAAAAATTACCAAAGACAGAGGGAAAATGTTTTTGTTTTTCAAAAATAGTTTTACAGATGTCAGTGTTCAAAGAACATTAGCAAATATATATTTACCTTATATTAATGTATGACATTATCTTTAATTTCATATTTTGCTCCTCATATTTACCAGTAAAAGTTCATAAACCTCTTAAATATGAAAGAGAATATAATCTCACTGTGACACAGGGTCTAAAGGTTAAGCCCTAAAAAACTTTTTTTTTTAATTAAAAACAAAAGAGATGTTTATATACAAAAAGTAAATGAGGTGCCAGAAGACTTAAAAATGGTAAAGCAGTAGTTCATGTTCAGAGCTATAAATTTACATACAAAAAGGGTCATATACCATCTGAGAGATTTTTCTATAAATATTCTTCATATTTATAGAACCGAGGAAATTATAGCACTAGAAATATATAATTAAATGAGATTCACAAATTTTTCAAGAATGGAACATAAAGACACTTGTACCAAAGACTAAATGTATTAAAATCTCGGGTAAAAGTGCTATAGTCTCAATATTTTTGAGGTTTATATATATTCTTCTAAAGACTCTGGTGCAAAGGAATACAGGACTTATTAAGAATAGCATTAAATGGCATGAAAGGAACGACAATATTTTCACACATTCACTAATTTAGAAAATTAACTGTAATTTCCACCATGCAAGTTAAGATTTTTTTTTCAATTAGAAATTTATCAGACTAAAAATCTTCAAATAAAAATTTCATCTACCCTCTAACTTGAAACCATTCTTAAGGATTGTATTTTAAAACCCATTTTATCTATAGAGAAGTATTTCTTCCTTCATATTACAATTTCCGATATTTGCTTCCTTCCTTAATTGCATTTCTCCATTAAACTAACTGCAATGAACTTTACACCGCAAAAGTGTCTCTTTGCCTCCGGCTTCAATAACAGGAGAAATAGTCACTTGTTCTGAAGCTAGCTTTAATTTAAACAGATTCTTGTAACTTAATCCCGATTCTTTTTGTGAACCTCCCTTAGAGAATGAATGGCAGAGGACAATTAGCGGTCACCGTTCTAAGCATTACCCTTGCTTGGAAAGATCAAAAAGAATTTGTTGTAGTATAACAGCAATTGCTTTGAATCGTAAAAAAGTGACATTTACCTTTTCCAATTGAGCGTTTTTTTTGGATTTGTATAAAAACTCGCCCACTGCCACAAAAACTGAGAGCACCAAGCCGGCTGCCAGAACAATGAAGATGCCACCAATATTTTGAACCCCCAGGGCACTGGCCTCTTTGCTCTCCTCCTCCGGGCAGCCATTGCCCCTCCACCATTTCTCCTTCATCATGTGCAGCTTGCCTTCCTCTTGTAGCTGAAGAATTGCTATGGTGATTTTGTCTCTATATGGAGAACCTAAGAAAAGAGAGGGTATGTTAACTCTTTCAAGGAACCCAGAGTTTTAATAATTAAGGGTTAACGTGATGAGAGGAGGATAGAGCTTTGTCCAAACACTCCAGGGTATGCCAATATTTATTTTCAGTAGAGAAAAACAACTGGAAAATGATGAAGGATAGACATTTAATGAGAGAACTAAGTAACAACATGAAGTAATGCCGTTCTGATTTTGAAGGGTACAATAAAAATTGTTTTTGAGGAAGAAAACGTCTCCTTTTAAAAGGCAGGCAGTTCAGAGCACTGGAAAATAAGTAAATAGGAAGTAGAAACCCAAAAAAGAAATCAATAGAGTGCAAGGATATTTAGCTAATATATAGGAATCACTCCACACTGAAACAGAGCATTGATAAACCAGTAATCTCTATTTTTAGGAAAGTTGTGGGAAAAATTGTGTTTCCCAGGATTAAGCGCAATAATTTAAGGCAATCATGATCAACAGGCTGCATTCAGGGGTAGCTCATACTTTGCAAGTAATAGGTAATCACTCCTATTTCTTATTTAATCTGAGTAACAGAAATAACAGGCTTGTACAGACTTGGATCCTTCAAATATAATCATAGTAATGCATTGTAAGGGTTTTTTTGATAGTTTATTATTTTATGTTTTGGGGGGAAATGTTCTCTCCAGTGGAGGCAACAGTATAAATTAAATTTAGTATTTATGCTGATGGGGGCAGATATTCATCTGTATTAGCTATTACATGATAAGTAATAACTTTTCTAATTGGTTGCCCAAAAGCATAGAATAATACCGAACTGCATGCATCTTTCAACACCTAATCCAAGGGATGGGTGTTACCTCTTTTTCCCACCCAGAAATAGCCTGTATCTAAAGTTTCATCTTCTTTCCTAAAACACTATATTGCACATTCCATTTTTCTGCATCTTCTCATTCATAAGTTCTGCTTACAGAAAAATACTAATTTTCAAATTTCAGTTTGTATTCAATAATGCCTGTGATTTTTTTTTTTTTTACTTAAATATACCTACAGGGGCCTATACTAAAACTTTATTTTTGCTAAAAGTGATTAAAAACTTCGTCAAGAAACTTTTCTGCCTCATAAGGGACACCACTATATATTTCGTTTTTTACTTGTTTAATATAACAAGACCAACTTAGCATCATTCTCTTAGAATAGTCAAGCTAAAAGCAGAAAGACAAGGGGAATCATAGGAATTAAGTAACCTGTTGAATGTTGGAGGGATGGTCTACCTAATCCAGCTGGAGAGCTGTTTCTTTAACATAATCCTTAATCTTACTCAGAAATGTGTAGGCATATGGCTTCTATACAACATTTTTCCAGTTTTCCTTAAAAGGAGCATTATCCACTCCTATATTTAGAACTCAAATATTTTATTTTCATTGTACAATTAATCCTCATGATAATAGAAGAATTTCTGCTTCTCAGCTTCTTTGCTGTGCTCTTCTCTTCCAAATGCTATCTGATGAAAATATTCAATTTAAAATCTGCCCCTCAGCCACTTCAGGTCTCAATGGATAAGCCTTGCCCAGACTACCTTCTACCTTGGTCACTAACTGGCCACTCAGTCTAGGTCACCTAGTATTATCATTATTTTTATTATTTGCCTTTCAGAATGTGACTTATTTTCCTATGTAGATTATAAACTCTCTGGAATAGATGATGTTTATCTATGTATATATATCATTTATCTCTATCATCTATCATCTCAATATTTTCTTATATAATTGTCACTTCTGAATATTTTTTCACATAACAGGATCTCAACAAATGTTTCATATTATGAGGAGCATAATATCTGACTGAGGCATTCCTACCATAATGTAAGAGTAATAACCTAGTCCTTTTGGTCTGTCTGACATGTATTTCAAAACCATAAATTAAGGCCATCTGTTGGGCTATCCAGTTTTCATTAATTCACTGCACCTAACCTAACACCAGCTTCAAGGTCACTCTTACTTTGAATTATCATTCTGATTAACCATGTATATTCTCTGTAAATAAATATTTGATTGAGGAAAAAATATCCTCTTTAAGCAGAATTGCAGTTCGTCAAATATGTTTTTTAATTTGAAATACAGCAGCTGAAGCAAATTTTATGCTGATAGTACTTGTGAAAATGGCTACATGTGACTAATATAAAATGTGGTTTCTCCTTTGGAATTTCAACTGTAAGTAAAATTTGGGGTGATAGTGACTTGAAAAGTAGACTTCAAATATGGAAAATTCTTGATACAGCTAAGTAATATTTTGAGTCAGCTTATTTCTCATCCTGAACAATACTGAAAGAACATTATTTTATTGCCAACTCACCATACCTATTAAACTGTATGAGAATGTTTATTCTAATATCTTCAAACACAGTATTCTTCCCTACATTCTTTAAATAAGAAACAGACTAACAGAAGCAACCCACTTTTCAACAAATGATAGATACACCTTGATTTCTTGCTTGGCTGAGCTTCCTATTTCTAGCACTTACAGTAAACATAAAAATTTCCCATTGCTAGCAAACCTCCCCAAACTTGTTTTCCAATATAAATATGGTAATGTTTAAATGGAATTTGGTTTAAACCAAAGCTACAAAATTAATATACCTTATTTTGAGGTGTTTAACAAGATAAAACAATATAGGGAACATAATTGATGAAAGTAAATCCTTGCCATGTTTTACTTGTCATTCTGTCATTGATTTAGTTTAAGTAATTATTTTTTTAAAATTTTTTAAGGATTTTTATTTATTTATTGAGAGAGAGAGAATGATAGGGAGAGCATGAGAGGGAGGAGGGTCAGAGGGGGAAGCAGGCTCCCTGCTGAGCAGGGAGCCCCATGTGGGACTCGATCCCAGGACTCCAGGATCATGACCTGAGCCGAAGGCAGTCGCTCAACCAACTGAGCCACCCAGGCGCCCTAAGTAATTATTTTTTTTTTAAAGATTTTATTTATTTATTCATGAGAGACAGAGAGAGAGAGGCAGAGGGAGAAGCAGGCTCCCAAGGAGCAGAGAGCCTGATGCGGGACTAGATCCCAGGACCCTGGGATCATGACCTGAGCCGAAGGCAGACGCTTAACCATCTGAGCCACCCAGGCGCCCAGTAATTTTTTTTTTTTTAAAGAAATAGCAATTCAAGAATAAATTATTACTTCTTTGGCACATCATTTGATGCTCCTGGGGAAGCATTTCTATACAGATACTAGTTGAAGTCCAACATGGACTGAAATTTCATCTCGTTGAAAAATCTCAAGGGCACATTGAGATCAAAGAAGAAAAGTAACTTTCATCCTCCTTGTGACATGAACAGCCATGCGCTTAGCTCTAATGAAGTGAACAGCCATTAGTTAGATAGATAGAGCTTACGCTTTGCCCAGACCCCAACCCAGCCTCAAACCATATGCCAGCAATGAGAGAAGCTGCCTCCAAGGAATATGAGTATTTTTGCAAGAGGACTCTAAGATTGATTGGAGAACTACTGAGGAAATTGTCAATATGTCTATTTTAACACATACTATTGTACCTAAAAGTCAATCCTCAAATGCTTAAGGTACAGACAGATAGCCATAAATAAGTGAAGAAACACTTTAGACAAAAATATCTGAAAAACTGCAACATCCACAGTGGATAACTTTCAGCTCCACTTTGAGAATTTCAACACAGAGTTGCCAGATTTTTTTTTTTTCTTTTTTTGGTGAGAACACATGAAACAGTCTGTCTAAAATTCTCTACATTAAAATGTTGGCAAATAAATCATTTTTTGAAAAAATCATGCAGGATATGCCAAATACCTCTTAGAGCTGAATTTAGCCTTTTGATTTTCACTATGCCATCCATCTCCGAGTATTGGTTCTTTTATATTCTTCCTAGCAATGAGATTTTCTTTGGTTGTTTAAACATATAGTTCATACTGACAGAACATGACTATCATGTTTAAAAAAATTTTTTTACAAGTTGCCAAAAACCCTATTTACCAGATAGAAAAGGTTGTAGCTTATAAAAAGAAGGGAGGAAGGGAGGAAGGAAGGAGGGAGGGAAGGAAGGAAGGAAGGAAGGAAGGAAGGAAGGAAGGAAAGGAAGGAAGGACGAAGATCAAACAAAACATGATTATTATACAGTGAAGCCTCTTATATGTCAGATGCCTAAGACTTGGGGCTCAAAATGAGCACCAAGGAGGCATAGAGACAGTTTTAAGTGATACATAGTAATAGTATATGCATGGGCATAAATAAAAACTAGAAATTCACCTATTCAGAATGTCCTCAATAAAAGAATTACTGTCTCTAAACGTCCCTAAATGTTAAATTTTGATCAAATAATTTTACATAAAATTATAATTTCATTAACATCCCTCCCAACAGATAGATTAAAAGCTCCTTAGGAAAATAAGCTGTGATTATTATAAACAATTAATACAAATCTCACCAAGTATTTCAGAGCTAATTTGCTGGCTGGGCTTAGTAAATTGAGCTCCTTCCTTCCTTCCTTCCTTCCTTCCTTCCTTCCTTCCTTCCTTCCTTCCTTCCTTCCTTCCTTCCTTCCTTCCTTCCTTCCTTCCTTCCTTCCCTCCTTTCCCCTTCTTCTCATGACTCTTCCATTCCTTTGCCTTTCTTCCTCTCTTTCTCATACTTTCCTCTTTTTGTTCTTCTTGCCCTCTCCTCTTGTGTCCTTTCATTCTTTTCCTTCCTTTCTCTTCCCTGCAACCCTTCCTTTCCTTTTCTCATCCGCCTCTCTTCCCTACCGTTCTTCCTTGCCTTCCTTTCTACCATTCTAAATTTCTTGCTTGTAGGATGAAAGCCACATGTTATTGTATATACTTGGTTCTAAGTCGATACACAATTTATTGATTTGCTCATTTGATTGTCCTTTTCATCTTCTTTACAAGCTCGCAGTTTTAAGTATGTGCCAACATTTCCTTCTCCTATTTCAGAACATCCAGACAGTATAGAAATGATAAAACAAATGAAGTCAGCATTATGTGTAATT